ATGGTTTTGCCCCTACCTTGCCATGCCTGAGTTTACTCTGCATCGTGGATGTCAGTAGGAGAAGTAAGGTTTGAAACACATTTAGCTCATGAGGCATCTTGCACATGTTTTCTGTTCCTTTTGTTCCCATCTTAATTTCTCTGAAGTGAAGAGAGCAAAAGCTTTCAAGTCTGTCCTCTTTATTTTAATATTGATTGTTTTCATTTAAATAATGATGATCAATTTTTCATGCAGGGTTTTCATCTCAGCAGACAAATGCACTCAGATGGGCACACACACTGAAAAGCTTGCCTTCTGTTTCTGTGATTAATTGAGATGTAGAGAGTGATGGGTGTGGGGTAAAAATAGAAAGGCAATTAGTGCAACTAGGCATGAAATAACATTGAGATACAAGCAGAATGTCTCCCCAGTTAGTGATCTCTTTCTGGGCTCTTGTGGATTAGCATCCCATTAGTAAGTCACTGGAATGGAAATCTTCAGCCTTTGGGGAGACCAGAGCATTAAAAATGGAATTAACTCTAACTGCAAACTGAGTCAGCACAATAGGTCATTAATTCGACTCCTCGGGTATATATATCATGCTGAGCTTCGGTGTGTGGGCTTCTGAAATATTAGGAGTGAGTTTATAAAGCATTGCAAGGACTAAATGATGGTTATCTATCATTCCATCCTTCATTCTCACCATTGAGATACTAATGTCTCTGGTGGTTCAAAACCAGTATTGAAATACAGACAAAACTTTTTACTAGAACCAATGGATATGGACCTTTACTTAGGAAAGCTGTGTATTATGTATTTTGAAAAAATAAATTCCTCTTACACTTACAGAATATTAATGATTCCTAGTTTTTAAAAAGCTTCGTCCTCAACTGATAAAGACAAAAATATCACAATGCCTCAGATAGTATCATTCTGAAGATTGAGAATTAAATCTTTCTGCATGAAGTTGACTTGTTTTGCTTTCTTTAGAAATAACCAGTGGCATTAAAAATATTTTCATGGGGCACCTGGGTCTCAGTCCATTAAGTGTCTGACTCTTGATTTTGGCTCAGGTCATGGGATTGAGTCCCGTGTTCAGGTTCTGCACTTAGCAGGGGGTCTACTTGAGGATTCTGTCTCCCTTTCCTTCTTTCTGCCTCTCCTTCCCCACTCCCCCACCCCCCCCATGCCATGCTCTCACTCTCTCTCTTTCTCAAATAAATAAATCTTTAAAAATTATTTACAAATAAATTTCTAAGTATAAAATATATTGAAATATTGAATATTTTCAAGCAACCTATAGTACTCCCTGGTTTCTGATACTCTTTTCTTTCTTACTCTTCTACATCCTCTTTGCAAATTGCTAACAGATAGTATTATTTCCTTTGATCATCCCTGTATAGCACAGTCATTAACAACTGCCATTTACTGATTGCTTCCCCAGGGTTTCTCACACTTGGCAATACTGACATTTGAGTCCAGATAATTCTTTTTTGTAGGGCTGTCCTGGGCATTGTAGGATGTTTAGCAACATCCCGGGCTTCTACCCACTAGATTCCAATAGCTGTACCCCACATGGCCCATCAGAAATCTCTGCAGACACTGCCAGTCATCCCATGGTGTCAACTTCTCCCCTGACTGAGAACCACTGGTTTATGCTCTATTAGACATTATCTCATGTGATTCTACAATAACTTTGCAAAAATGCGGGACTTTGTGAATGGGAGCCTTGGTAGGAAATAGAACCTACACAATATTTACTTACAACTTACAACCGCTTAGGGATGTTACGGCACCCAGAAAATATCAGTAGTGAGAAGTCATTCCCACCCCAAGGGTTGAAAAAACAAGGAGAGGAGATAATGTTCCTGGGGTGTTGGGAAAGCTGGAAGCATGGAGAGGCCTCTAGACGGAGATGAAATCGGGAAGAGACAGAACAACACCGTAACACAAAGAGCAAAGGATACCCTGGCTCCTCCTTCCTCCTTAATCCTTTGTCACTAAAAAGTCCTACAGTAGGTGAGCCCAAATGAAATCCAACCAGCAAAGGATTGGAGTGATGCAACCCCAGGGTTTAGTCCTGTGGGCTCAGACACAGAAGGAAAATGAAATCCATGGAGGAAAAGAAAAGAAAAGAAAAGAAAAAACTGTCCCCAATTTAACATGAAAAACTGAGGTTTAAAAAAACAAAGTAATTCACCCAAAGCCTGTGTCCTCTGTACACTACTAGTAACCTGTAGCTGGTTTGCATCAATGAATGGACATTCAGTGAGACTATGAATTTTTCAAGGTTATTGATTTCAGTAGCTGATAGAAACAAGAGCAGACCCAATTCTCATTCCCAGTCTGGTGTTCACTGTTTTTGTGTTGACCTCTGAAAGAAATTTAAGAACTGTATATCCAGCCCATTCTCCAGCAGACAAACATGAGATTGAAAGCTATGTGCTGACCTGGAAAGTCATTTTTTCCTAAAAAGCCTATGGAATTCTAGGTTTCATATAGAATGTCTAAATGGCATATGCTGTTTTTCCAAGCTTGTGGCACATTTTGTCTTGATTGCAGAAACTCGGCTGCAGCTGGTGCAGTGTGTGAGGAGAGGGAGGAAGACTGGACTGAGAACCAGGGGATCTGGGGCCCAGTCCTGGCTCTCTCAATCCTAGCCCTGCAACCCTTAGCAGGAATAGCAATAATTAAAATCCCAGAAATCGTTTCTTCCCTTTTGAATTCAGCCAGATCTTCACAGTTATTTTCAGGTCTCTAATCAGATGGCCATAACTCTAGAACAAAGAAGGTGTTAGATTTTCAGGTTTCATGAGTGAAGAGTCAGGATCAGAAAACACTAGAGTCTCACTGAATATCCCATAGCTGGGAAGTAGACTCAACATCACCTCTTCCCACAGAAAACATAGTGTACTTTCTACCCCATTTGCAGTGATAAATCAGTTGATTTACTTCCTCTGGACAGCCAGTCGGTAGCATTTAATACTTTAAGTTTCATCATAAAGGCATATCTACATTAAAGTCTAAGAATCTTTTCTTTATTTTTGTCTTCACATTATAGCAAGGCTACAGTGGAAACCAATATGGTTAGCACCTAGGGATTCCTCATTTCTTCCTTCCTTGGTTTCAGATGAGTATATTTACTGACTGACAGCTTTTTAGAGACAAAAACTAGAGTGTTTCAAGGATTTTTAAAATAAATATATTCAGGTAAATCTAAGTGAATTAATACAGTTCCATTTTTCTCCCTTTAATCCTGGGTGAATCGATGCTAGTATTTCAGATTCAGAAATCTCTACTAAGATAAAGTGGGTTGACACTCCCAGAAAGTCTGGAAGGTCCTTGGTCCTTTGCCCAAACTATTTACCTTCTTTGCCTCAAGGTGGGGTGGGGGGGAAATGATACATTTCAGGAGTTCAGACACAGCTTCTTGTTCTTAGTCTTGCTCTCTGCCCACTCCCTCCTCCACTCTGCAGTATTTTCAAGCTGCCTTATTTCTCTGTTTTCAGCCTTAAAATCAGGTGTATAACACCAACAAATTAACTTGTTTTATTTTTCATAATTGAATATTTCTTTCAAGCTCCTATTTCACCTGCCTTATTCCAAGTAAGCCTAGAATGCAGGGGTTCTCAATCCAAGGTAGAGCTGGAGAGAAGGGAAACAGGAAAGAAAAAGACAAAACTAAAGTATAGATGTTTGAAGTCTAAACATAAAAACAAGCAAGGAAGAGAGAAAGAAAGAAAAGATTGTAAGTTCTACTTTGATAGCCTTTGTAGTCAGGCAAAAATACAAAATTCCTTCGAAGAAAACATTTTCACTGATCAAAAAATCTGGCTGCATGATAACATTGTATATGAGATGATTCGGAATTCTTTGGAAAATGGTTTATAATTAGGGTGTTCATACATGAGGAAAGGTGGAGTAGCAGTATTTTCAGTATTTAGGAGAGTAGATTTGAGCTAGATTATCTAGATACAGATCATGGTGTCATCCCTTTTCACCTATGAGACCTTGGGCAAGTTACTTACCCTCTCTGTGTGTTGGTTTCCTCATTAATATAATCAAATATAAAGAGATTATGGTTAAACAAGTTAATAATGACAAAGCATTTAGAACAGTAGTGGACATAGAAATCATTCTGTGGATGCTAGTTGTCATCACCCAGCACTCTTTCCATCACCCCCCCAGCACCGTCATCATGATCAACACTAATTTGTACTACACAGGGACTCAATCTAATGTTTCCATTCTTTTAGAGTATAATTACATAGAAGCCTAATCCATAATAACTAAATTATAGAGCATCACTGTTTAGAACAGTTTAACCAAAAAATAATAATAACTTACGTAGGAATAATGTGCATTTGTACTTTGGAGTATATAACCTTACTCAGAACTTTCTATTCTAAGAGTTGGCCACCCTTTCTCTCTTCTTGATTGTGTACTAAATCTGTAGAAAGGCTTATTCATAGCGACTCTGTTTGGTTTGGTGTTGTGATACCAAGTATATTTTCCCAGGATTTCAGGCTAGAGACTCTACCAACAAAGAAATATTCCAGAAGTCAGAATTAGACATAAATTGTATGCTACAGAGGTGTCTTCTTATTACCAGAAGTCAGGCCAGAGTCTCTAAAATCACATTAGGGTACTGTTTTTGTGGGTATTGAGTTTCACCCTTGAGAGAATTAAAAGAGCTGACAATGACGTATAATAAATCTTACACTGACCCAAACATATTTAGTGATTAAACTTCCCAGCAATCCCAGTTCTGTCAGCTTAAATAAGTAGAAAACTTATATTTTTACTCTTTTTTCACTTTCCATTTAGATAAGTAGATTTCATAGAAATAATTACTATATTTGTCTGTTTAATTCATTTAGAGTTAATGCCTTATTTACATGCTTGGGATTTTAATTTGAGATGAGAAGGAACCAAGAAAAGTATGAGCCGTTTTTTATACACAGGAACAACTGGCTCTCTATTTTTTAATTTTTATCTATTTTCTTTGTCTCAATCCCCAGCCTCTGAGCCCAACTTGAAGGTGCGGTCCAGGTTAAAACAGAAAGTGGCAGAGAGGAGAAGCAGCCCCTTACTCAGGCGGAAGGATGGAAATGTTGTCACTTCATTCAAGAAGCGAATGTTTGAGGTGACAGGTAATTGAGGACTGTGCAGACATACACTAAAAAATGCCGGTAGGAGGAATGAAAATAAATAGCGTAGAATAAATATGGCTGTTGCGTATTAAAAGTTATTTTGAGGAGAAACATGTCTTAAAAGGAAATTATATTGAACATGCACAAGTAGCTCAGTAAACCTTGCCATGCATTCACCAACTGTGTTAAACAGGAAATGAATGAAAAACAGAACTGTGTGTCAATCTAGGCATAACTAGGGAACGCCAAAGTTCACCTTCATCTTTTCAGAAACAGGCAGTCCGTTTTAGGAATGCCAACCAGAAGAGTATAACTTTTAATGAAATTTGATCAGAAATGAGCAGAGGGAGGTCTAAGAGGAGCACTTCCCCCATACTCAGACATGAATGTACAAAATACATCTGGGAAAATTAAACTATGTGGAACAGCAAAACCTTGACTTTTCAACAAATTTACAGAACTCATAAATGACTTTATGTGTTTACTAGTGAACTGGGACTTATGGCAGGAGGGGGATATATTGCCTTTTAGGAAGGGAAAGAAACTGTCATTTTCACTAGTCTCCAATGGAAGCATTCTTATTTTCTTAGCTGCCTGGTTAGTGGTGGGGTGAACAGGTTAGGAAATTCAACCTGATGTCTTACAAAGCTTTCTGGTCCCAGCTGTACCTGGTCTGAAATTAGAGAAGACCTAGGGATACAAGAACCAAAAAGGCTAGCCAAAATAATAATACCGACTACTGTTTATCGAGTACCTACTTGGACCTATATGCGTTGTATTTGGTCATTTCCTTCGGTTGCATTCATAGAGAAGTGGTAATCGGCAACCGTTTTTTTTTCCCATTCTCACGGAAGATTGTGCTTATACCAGTGTAGTCAGTTGCTATCATTTCTCCAAGATCAGATCTTATCCTTAGCAGGAAAGGGTAATAATTTTCCAAAATTATTTGTTTTCTGTATCTCCTGTGGCCATAAAAACACCTACTTTGGGGAGACAATAGGGTAAAGATTGTGGAAGTGGGAGTAGAAAAGTACAGCACACTAATGCAACGTGGTAGTTTGACAAGTTATTTAGGAAAAGCAAAATGTGCAGTCTCCTACTCATTCCCGATAGATTAATAAATTTAATACAGATTTAATAAAAAATCTTTATCTGAAGAAAAGTATTAGTTGGAAAATTTTTCCTTGACAGATAAGAAATGTTAAATAAATGCATATATAAATTAATAAATATTATTCTACCAAAGTATATTTTTTCAGTATCAAATATAATCACTAATTTGGACCAATTTAAATTCAGAGCTGCAGACTTTTTTTTTTTTTTTCTCAGAACACAGATTTGTACCTAAGTAAATAAAAATCTTAATTAAGCTTTCATAACAGAGGTACTTGGTGGGGTTGGGGAGTAGGGGAAATTAATCTATTTTAATGTAAAGAAGATGAACATATCAACTGCCTAATGTGAATAGATAGAAGTGATTTTTCTAATTGGAGAGAGTACGCTCCCTCGTAACAGGAAAACTTGACGAAAATAGAGAGCCATATACATTGCTTTGCTTTTTTTTGTTTGTTTTTGCTTTAGAATCTGATCAATCCAAGGGCATATTTATTTATCCCAACGTTCTCTTCTATTCTTGATGGTAACTTTTTCCCCACTGTCACATGCCACATTGCAGTGGCATTTTGCTCAGTACATATCTGGGTAATAATTAATTCTAACTTAAAGAGACGATAATTTGCTGGAGTTTCCCTCATGTTTCTCTATTTTTGAAATACCATATTTTTCAGAAAGGGACTTGTATGTTTATTTGATGCACATTTCTGGTCATTGAGCTAGGACTTGTGGACGCTTTGGTAGATTTTTTTAAACTAGTATGTTGTACTTATTCTCAATGTCTTTGGAGGATCTGAACTAGATTTATTCACCTGTCCCCCAACCCCCTTTCTCTGCCAGCTTTCACATAACGTGGATGAGCTTTGTTTAGATCTTCATGCTAATTATTTTCCTGTAGTCTGAGACCATCGTGGCATCATAGAGCAGATAATTGCTATTGTGGGTTTTTTCCCAACTCTGCATCTCCCTTCCCCATTTCCTAGGCTCAAGTACCTGCTTTTTTCAAATGCTGTGCCTCCTCTCCTCCCAATAGTTGACATGGGAACCACTTGCTATCTCCCTGTTTTTTAAGTTCTACAGTTTTCTGTCCCTTTTCCCACCAAAGCCATGTTATTTAACAATTCTCAGCCTTGGCCCCCCTCCCAGTGTCTTCTGCGCTCCCTTCTTCTCTGCTGTCCCCATTTCATGAACAACTTCTACTTCTCTTCAAGCCCCAGTTGCCATCTGATTTCTTCTCTGAGATTTTCTCAGTGTTCCCAGAAAATCAGTTGCTACCTCCCCTGCCTCCCCAGGTCCAGTGCCGTGTTGTAGAATCCCATTGCAGCATGTATTTGTGGCCTAGAATTCTCATGCTCACAGCAGCGATTTCTACATAAGGAAATACTTCTGTCTGAATATCGCACCAAAAGACAGAAATAATATGACTTTAAATTGACAAGGCAGACGTAAGAAAAGTACTTTTTTGTTTTTGTTTTTTAAAGACAGGATATGAAAATGAGATATTAATGAGAAATCGGCATTGAGTCACACAGGAAAGGCCAGAGTTAGGAGTCTGGGAGAAAATCAGCTCCTTGAAGTATTTTTTTTTAACGTGTATTTTTCTCATTAAAAGAAAAGCAAATAAGAAAGAATCAAAGATAAAAATCGGATTGATCAAAATGCAAGCAAAATATATAGACAGAAAAGCAGGGAGAAGATGTGTTTTAGAATTTTACACCCATGTCCCTTTTTTTTTTTCCCTCATCAAAATCTTCTATAATGTTCTCTAGCTCTTATTCTTACTTATCTAGAAATGGGAGTACTGCATTGTATCTTAACAGTGAAAACACAGGGAGAAAAGTGGTAGCAGAAGTCAGAAATGTTTCAAAATTTTTCACAGTCCTTTTTGTGGACTGACATGGGGCTTGTTGTTCCCATAATGGGGAAAACAGTGTTTGGTGCTATATGTCACTTACAGTATCACCGAAACTCATCCTTGTATGGTTTTCGTGAATCGGCTTGTGCTTCCCAATGTCTTCCAGAATCTTCTGTCAGTAGCAGCTCTCCAGGGTCTGGTCCCAGCTCACCAAACAATGGGCCAGCTGGAAACGTTCCTGAAAATGACACCTCAGTTTTGCCACCTACTCCTCATGCTGAGGTAAGGCTCTTACTATTTTGGTTCTTTTAAAAATTAGACCCTTGAATAGCCCTATAAAACAAAGTGATATTTCTGAAGTATAAAGCCACCTGTTCTTAGTTATTTTTCTTATAGGCTTATCGTGTATGGAATTGAATTAGGCTTGATCTTATTTACCAAGTTTGCATGACAATTACGGTTTGGAAATAATGAAATGTAACCCTAAGAAAAAAACACTCTTAGGGATGCTGAAGTTACGCTGCCCAGCAGTTGTGCAACTCAGTAGTGTTGGGTTTGGTTCTTGGTTGTTCTGGTGGGGGTAGACCCAAAAGCAAGTAAAAAAAGACTTCGTGCAAACCTCTCAGAAGAACAGCCTAGCAAAGTAGGTTTTATCCATTTGCCCTGGAGAGTAATGAAAAAATAATTTAAGTATTACATAGGATTCTACTGAGCAAACATTAGCAGAGGACCTACTAAGTGCCATTCATTTTTCCTAGCAATGGGAATATAAAAATGAGTAAGATATGAACTCTGTTCCTGAAGAATGAAATGTTAAAGGAAATGGATCTGATTGTATGCAGTCAGCCATTATAACATTTGTTTTTCAACACCTAATTCATGGAAACCAGTGATATAAGAATAGAGAAAGATAAATTTGTGAGTCAACAAGAATTCTTCTGTATAGTTTTGTTATTAAGCTAAGCCATGGCAGCAGTCTGGAAATAGCCATTCGTAGGGCTGTTTTGAAGATACTATCAATTGACTGAAACTCTTGTTTTTTTCTTTTCTGTCATTGTAATGCCTCCTTACCATGATTTGCTCTATGCAGGGAAAGCTGGTACAATAACTTCTCATATGTAACTGTAACGTGTTTCTTTCCTTATATTTGATACAGTCATGGTAACTTAGGGTTGAAAGAGACTGATGAAATCTCTGATTCTTGCATCACCTATATAGCTTTCTTGATGTGTAATTATCAAACTTTGTTAGCATACTTCTACTTACAGGGAGCTCCCTTTGCTCTTTCCTGAGTCAACTCAGTTGATTTGAGAGAGAGAGTTCGCTTGACAGAAATGTCTTCGGTACATTATGCCAATATCTGTGTCTCTACAATTTCACATACATACACACTTATAACAAATTATTTCTAAATTGTAAAATTACCAGGCCAAAATATAATTGAAGGCAGAAAACCAGAGGTTATTTCTGATAAGTTAAGGGCTGAAACCAATGAAGTCACTTGCTCTGAGAACATTTGCGTAGTTCAGTTTTTTGGTTTTTTTTTTTTTAAGATTTTATTTATTTATTTGACAGAGAGATCACAAGTAGGCAGAGAGGCAGGCAGAGGAAGAGGGAGAAGCAGTCTCCCCACGGAGCAGAGAGCCCAATGTGGGGCTCCATCAGGACTCTGGGATCATGATCTGAGCCCAAGGTAGATGCTTAACTGACCAAACCACCCAGGGGCCCCGGTATAACTTCAGTTTTGAGTTTTGGTTTTCAGGGCTTCACAATACTTGAGAGAGAAGGCAGGCTGAGTACTGACCAAGGAGGCTAATCTAACATGAAATTAAGCTGGAATTTCAAAAGCTTATGTCTACACTATGTTGGTGAGTCCCTCACCCCACCCCCAGAAGTGTCTGGATACAGACCAGAGCAGGCATAGGATTTCTCCCTGAGAAGTTTTAACCAGAAGCTTGTCCTTGCATGGAGTGATAGCCCAAATTTCTGTAATTTCAAACTGTTATTTTGGTTTAAAGTGCCCCAGATTTGTTAGGGCTTGTAGGTGTCTGGAAAAGCAAATATAAATCCTCTCTAGAGAAATATACCTGCATTCTAGATTTCAAAAATTTCCTTCAATTTTCCGAGGAAAATGGGGAGAAGAAATAGACATTCTCTTGCTTATGATCAGCTTTCAGCTACTTAAAGAATAACAATTCAGGCCTCAACATTATCTCCAGATCCTTCATCTATTTCTTGTTTTTCATGGTTTTCTTTCTCTTTTTCATTATCCATTCTAAAACATGATACGAGATAGCGTAAGTACTTCACATATATTTGTGATCAGAGATGTAAGTGGGATTCTTGGACTATTGGATATAGGTATTGTATTTCTGTTAGTGCAATTATTTGTCAATACTGGTCAGTTTTCTGTGACCCTTTAGTCAGTTTCCAGGAAAAGAACAACTTCGTCACAGGCAGTTCTAAAAACTTTAGGTTTCCATTGCCTCTCAGTTTGAAGAATGTGATTCTCAGTAACAGCGGAAACATTAAAGGGTCTGGATTCTAAATCAGCTCTGGATGAATTCTGTGGCCCTGGAAAAAGAAATGTCACATTAAACTACATTCAACAGCATGTATGATTCTTAGAAATGCATTGTTAGGGCGACAAGGTACAGAAGACCACTTAGAGTATCTGATAATATTTTATTAGGTTCAGAAACAACAGTGTGGGTTCTTGATCATGAAAGCATAGGTAGTAAAAGTATATTTTACAAAGGTTAAGGGTGTAATGACCACAAAATTTAGCATGATGATTACCTCTCTGGAGGGACCAAGGTGGGGAGGGTGGGGAGAGACATGGTTTGTTACTAAAGAGGAAGATATATGTATTCTTTCATTATAAATACACATCTATGTATATAGTACTTAGTATAACACAGAACAACCACCAAGAAATATATCTTTCTGAGATTAGAAATAAATGGAAAAAGGGAGATTTTTCTCTTTACTTCAAACTTTTTATGACCTGTTGTATTGAATATCCCAGATCATGAGATCCTATCTTTAAATTTCAAAATACATTGGAGAATGAAAGTTAAAGGAATTTTTTATGTTGTTTTAATCTATTTTTTATTCCTAAAACCTTCACTGTCACAAATAATCTGTTTAGAATGCCCTACCTTTTCATCTATTTACTGAACATTCTGCTACTACAGACCTTTCCTTCCACCCCACCAGTAAGGGTGGGGGGAAAAAACAACACACACACACAGAAGGAAATGTGATTTAATGGAGTTTGAAAGAGTAGAGGTATTTCTTCAGGTCAGTGACAGGACACTCACCTCCAAAGCTGGAAAGACTAGTTCAAAAGCAAGCAGTGACTTACTTCATAATGAATTAATTGTGTGCCTGAACTATGATCCAAAAGGCCAGGTGAGCAGACCTTTATGCACTGATGGGTAGCCTCTCTGTGGCCCAAAACAAAAAATTCAGCCCTGATGGCTAACATGTGGTTTTCTGCTGCATTGCCATTTACAGAGGTCTGTAACGTAATTCATAGTGGAGAGCTAAAGAGACAGCAGAATTCAGACGGAAACTCTCAACAAATTAATATGCTAGCTCTGTAACACAAAATTCTTGTACCTAAACTAGAAAAAGGGGAAAACAAATATTTTCTGCCAATTCTTGATTAACAATCATTTCAGATTTAGTAAGACTTTTACAGACATCTTCCAAGATTCACAATAGTGTGTAATTTCATATCAACAGAAATAGTTTTAAGGCGTGAAAAAATATACATCATCAACTGTACTTTCAAAAGCCAAGCTAGTTTCACACTTCACCATTTACAAAATAGGCGTATTCTACCATCTTCGGTTAAATAGCACCAGTGAATTTTCATTTTTAAATAGTTCAACAGTGTACATTTGTATGAGCTCTTTATTCTGTGACCTGTAAGTAGAAAAGCACATCACCGAATTCTTCCAGAGCCCATGAATGGGATTCTACTCCCTTTTACTGCTTAGGAAAGAGGAAAGTAAGGCTGTGTCTCAGGCTGATGTTGAGGCTTCGGCAAAAAGAAAATTTTTAGCTTATAATTCACACGTCCTGCATAACATAGCTGGAGGTGAAGACAGAAGTAGGAGGAGAATTTACTCCTAAGTCCCCGCTGAGGAAATGGCACAGTGAATTCAAACGTATGGGTCTTCCATTCGGAAGGCTCCCCAGGAACCTGGCTCCGAAACCAGCTACTTTGTCATCATCAGTTAAGTCGCTAAACTTGTCCCTGACCTTAGATTCCTTATCTAGTGAATGGCAGCCATGCCTCCTCCAACAGCGTTGTTGTAAGGAATCAGTGTTGGGAAGGCGGGTGGTGAATTGTGAAGTGTGAAAGGAGTTCATTTTCTGTTGTTGTTATCAATACTGACTCTTAGGAGGGAAAACTCATTAGCATGTTTGTCTCCAAGCCAGCGAATCACATGTGAGAGAAAGTCTCCATCTGCTCGGACCACTTCTGTTCCATCTCTTCTATTTCTTGCATATGCTCAGTCCTGAACTCGGATTGTTGGAGCTCCTTGTTTTACTCATTTGTAAACTTGGTTGGGGAGCTGAAACCTCAGGAGTTTCTATTTCCAGCTCTAGTCAGAAACGTCTTTACCTATCTAGTTACTTTATTGTTAATACTGCGGGCCTGTGGCTTAAGATGTTTCCACGAATATCAACACCATTATTTTAGATTCCGTAGATTTATTTGATAGCTATGTTAACAGTAGCCAAGCAGCTGGTTTATTTTTATTTGAACATTAGTGGCTGGCTCTGCTATGCTATTTTTTTTAAAATCATATTTTTTTTCCCCAGCAGATACAAATGATTTTTTAAAAAGGATTCTAATAATAAGGTTAAGTACTCTGAAATCATCTGAAATGTCACTTGTTTTGCCCCCAACTCACATGACTCATCTGCCTATTGTTTCGTAATGGCTGTTGTGACATTTGCTGTAAATGTTATGCTCCATTCTGCGTGGGTGTGGTGCTAGGGTTTTAGATGGTAGAAAATAAAATACTTTCCCCCCATCTTTGGGAGAAGAGGTTGCTATGACAGAAGAATCATTTAGGAGGAATAACATGAGTCAATATTGTAAAGCAAGACCTTTATTGGGACCTTCAGCAGTGCTCTTTAAATGGAGAGGGAATGGGGTGCCTGGGTGGCTCAGTGGGTTAAAGCCTCTGCCTTTGGCTCAGGTCATGATCCCAGGGTCCAGGGATGAGCCCCACATCAGGCTTCTTGCTCCGCAGGGAGCC